TTCCTGCGCGAATCTCAGCAATCACTTGTTCTGATTCTACATATTGATCATTTTGAACTAAAAGAAAACTTTGGGGTGGAATATTCACATTATGTATAATATTTTCACTCTCAATAGTTACATACAAGTCTATAGAACATAGAAAAGCCGGATGTCCGTGACGTGTACGTGTCGGATGAACCAAATCCTCATTGAATTTTATTTTTCCATTAGAAGGGGCTCGTACATGTTCTGCAGTACCCCCTGTGAATACTCTGCCAGTATGAAAAGTTCTTAATGTTAATTGGGTACGTTGCCATAGAATGGGTACCTCGATTTACTATTAAAGATATCTTATAATAATTATAATTCTAATTAGTATATATCTAAGTGAGTATATATAATAAGCGCAAGGAATGTAGAACTAACTAAATGGACTTATTCATCTTTCTACTTTCTAAATAAAATATATGTATGATAATCAATTTTGTTAGTCTTCTTCTTTTCTTCTTGTCTTTAAATTTAATAAAAAAAAAGTTTCTTACAAATTACCGAAAGATTCGTTAGAATCCGACCTAACGGGGATTCTTAGTAAAAAATGGGGATTCTCGGGAGATATAGAAAGATACAAAAATCTATATTTTCTATATTTGAATTATATACAGACGTAAGAAAGGAAAATGAAATTCGTTTTTTTATCTTGTTACTAGAGGCTTCCTGATTACTAGTCAGTAATATAGGTAAAAAAAAGAATTATCCACAATTTTTTATTCTTTCTACAATTAGATCTTATGTCATCAAAGAAAACTCTATTCTTCTGATTTTGACTTTGATTTCGATAAACTAACTACTTGTTTGCTACAAATAAAATAATTGAACTTAATGTGCTCTACTTGCTTGAATTTTGATTTAAAGGAAAGAAAGCGTGGAGCTGAAATAATTCACTCAGAACGCCCTTTAAAGGATTACACGGTACGATTAAATCGAATAAGCCCTTCTGGAATAAATATTCGGCCGCTTGTGAACCTTCGGGTACTGTTTTATGCAATATTTGTTCAATTACTCTTTTACCCGCAAATGCAATGTAGGCGTTGGGTTCGGCAATAATGATATTCCCCAACATACCAAAACTGGCTGTCACCCTACCAGTAATAGGCGATGTAAGGATTGATACATAAAATAACTTTTTATTTGATTGATAATCATATAAAGCAGAAGAAATTTTAGCCATTTGCATCAAGCTCAAACTTCCTTCTTGCATGCGTGCCCCTCCCGAAGCACATACTATAAGAAGAGGTAGAAATTTATTGGTAGCATACTCGACCAAACGGGTAATTTTCTCCCCAACTACGGATCCCATACTAACCCCCATAAACTGAAAATCCATAACCCCAATTGCTATGGGAATACCGTTTAGTTGGCCGATGCCTGTTTGAACAGCCTCAGGTAACCCTGTTTTTATTTGATAAGAATCGATACGATCTCTATAAGGCTCCTCATCCGAATGAAATTCAATGGGATCCAGAGAGACCATGTCTTTATCCAGTGGATCCCAAGTGCCCGGATCAATTGAAAGTTCGATTATATTTGAACTACTCATTTTCAAATGATACCCACAAATGCTTGTATTTTTGAGTTACATCGAGATCATTAGAACTTTCTCTTATAGTTAAATCACTACCATTCATGCTGGTTTTTATACCGGAACTATCGCTTTTACCACTATTTCTACTTTCACCATAAATGGAATTATAAATGTAACTGTCACTATCACTGTAATTGTCACTATCACTTAAAATGTAAGTATCAATACAGATTTGAGAATGAAGATAACTGTCAATGCAACTATTAATGTGATTATTCCAACTATATTGAGTATCATACATGTAACGATCATAGTAGGGATCGTTACTCTTAGATCCCTTATTTCAATAACTATAAAAAGAACTTTCTAGTTCACTTAGAAAAGAATGATCATTGTCAATCTCAAAAATCTGATTTTCAATATCAAAATATATGGAATAACTGTCCCCATTATTATCCCTAACTAAAAAAGTGTCATCAGAAATGAAATTCCGAATGTCCTTGACACTGAATAAATGATCAACATTACTATTACTGTAACTAAAACTGTCACTATCAATCCAACTATGAATGTTTTTATTTCTATCTGGATCTTCACTTTCGCTGGTATTTTCAATAGGACCAAGACTATCCGTTGATTTACTCAACCCACACCTGTGTTCTAACTCCTTCTTAAACAACATCGAATTGAACCACCACTTTTCCATAGAGTTTTCTTGCCCCCTATTTCATGAAAATACAGTAGATGAATAGTCATTCGATGAAAAAAAAGAATTTATTTGAATATTTCATTTTCTATCAGAATAAACATAAAGATCCACTCACTAGGATTATTAATGAATAAGAAAAGAAAACAAGTACTAGTATACTACTAACAAACAGAGAGGGTGGAGGGTGGGTTTGGGTGTTGGACCACTATCTAGGAAATGGGCTTTTGAGGGCCCAAGTGGGGACTGTGATCACGTGGCAATACTATTGGGTCACATGGGTAGATGCCACGTGGCATATAGACCTGAATTGACGGTTTGGACACTCTCCTTAGTCCCTTGAAAGAGGAGCAAGCCCACGCCTCACTGTCTCCTCTGTGTCACGACCCTGCCTTCCACATTTTCAGTAGGCCCCACTTCTAAATTGTGCATCCCTGTGCTTAATTAGCGTTTTAAGTGTCACCACTGGTATCTCAATTACGGAGTATAACGTAGTGTAGCCTCTGTTTTTTTTTTTTTTTTTTTTTTTTTTGACCTTTAAGCTCTTCATTTCCCAAACACACACACAGGGTACACACCCCTAACTATGCTGAAAAAAGCATGTAAATTAAACCTATCTTATACTCTAATTGTCTATCTTTTCTTTTTGAGTTGTTTTAAAATAATTGTCCACTTATCAAATTTAAACAACATATTTTATAACTTTCCATAAAATACTCTTAAAATTTTAAAAAAATTCAAACTTGATTATATATATATTTAAACTTGAAAGGGAAGTATTGTAATTTTTAAAGGTAACAATGCAATAATTGTATGTTCTCTTAAATAGTTCTACTGCCTAAAAAGAAAATTTAATATGAGATAGAGGGAGTATAAGTTAAAAATTTATTGGCTGTCCTTTGTCTTTATTGGATGCCCTCCGTATTCTTTTTACTTTAGGCATGTATAGTTACCAAGTTTAAATTTTTTTTGAAAATATAAAGAGTAATGATGGAAAAATAAAGTTTATTTGTTTTGACTTTTCAAAATAAACAATTAATTTGGGACATCTAAAAATAAAATAATAAACTATTAATATGAGATAGAGGTGTGTTGGTGACACTTATGCATGTGGATATTTTTTAATTATATAAATATATATATTTAAAAATTTTAAATATAAATATACAATATAAATAATTTGTAGTAAATGATATCTAAGTCAATTTCGAAAATGCGACCGCGGATGAGATAAGGTGAGTGAGAATGTGAAATCGTGCCACAAAAAGATCAGATGTTTGCTATGTTTAGGAAATCGAATTAAAGTAGGATTTATATATATATATATAAATGAATTCTCTCCTTCTAACAGCATATAGGGATAAGGGCCACCATGTAAATTTTAGTTAGGCTTGGTCCCCATCAACCTAAAAAGGGTTGTTACTTTTCGTATAGTTTAAAATAATCCTAGTTAGTAAGTTTTTCAATGTAAGGTAATAATTAATAATTAAGGTGGGTAAGAGCAAGAAACAAGGAACCACAAGTTATGAAATAATACAACTCTCTCTACACAAAGACAAGCCAAGGAGTTCCTAGGTGGAAATAAAAGGACAGACTCTTGCTTTCTTGTTCTCTAACTTTCTCAAATACTCCTTTCTTGCAATTCTTCTTATTACACACTAGTAATTTAATGTTAATGTTATGTTTAGGAAAATGAATAGGTGTCTTAGGTTTAAAATTTTAAAATAATTAGTTTAAATTTTACATTAATATATATTTTTTAATTTTAAATTTAAAATGCTAATTCGGTACTTTCAAACATATATAACATAAATCTCGTTCTTAATTTTTTTGTAAGAAACTTTCTCTACACCAAATATGCTTACGTTGTATATAATGTTATGGCTATATTTCAAATTCACTATTTTCCTTATTTTAAGTTTTTTAAACTTACAAAAACCAATTTCTTCCGCATAAATGCCTAAAAAAGTGAGTAACCAAAAAATTTGATAATCCCAAATCCTCAACCAACAAGTATAAAAGAAAGATACATTGCAAAAGTATAATTATGAATCAATACAACACAATGAGACCATTTTTGAAACCCCAAAATGTTGTTAAATACCATTTAAAGTAAGAATACATTGTAGAAAAAACCCCAAACATAGACAAAAGATTCCAACTCCATATAGGTATAGCCAAGCCTCATACTGCACCACCTCATTTCTATGCATGTCAATTAGTAGTCTTGAAGAATGAAATTCATAGTTTTTGATCAATGTCTCCTTGTTTATGAAAACAGATAATCCCTTTTCTCCCTTGCTTATCAATCAATTGGGACCCAATTACTTGACTTTCACACATACCGCAAACCACTTTCCTAAAACAACAAAATCTCTTTCTTCTACACAAATAAGTTACCATATTTTTATGGTAACTTATTTGTGTAGAAGAAAGAGATTTTGTTGTTTTAGGAAAGTGGTTTGCGGTATGTGTGAAAGTCAAGTAATTGGGTCCCAATTGATTGATAAGCAAGGGAGAAAAGGGACAAAAAGAGAGGCTACCCATATCTCCATTTTCCTTCTTACTTCTCATCCCCCATACACCTGCATGTTCTCCAAAAGAAACCTCTTAACTCCCTCAAAATCTACATTTAATGCCCCCATTGTCTTTCTAACACTACAATATACAACCCCTATAAATATTACTACTACCACTAACAATATCATCACCAAACACAAGACCAACAGATTTTATCTCTGCCTTCAAAAACTCTTCAACCATTTAGGTTCACATATTTTGCTTAATATGTCAAGAACATCTTCGCTTCTTCTATGTATTTTATGTCTTTCTTTCTATGTATGCAATGCTCGGCCTCTCGGTGCTATCACCAAGGAGTCTCAGAAACAATTTCACCTTCCCACCAAGGTTTGCTATCATTTACTGTAATTATTTCTTTCCTCAAGCAAATTTCCAACTATTTATTTCAAATTTACCCCATATTGTATGTGGTCCATACACTGAGTTATTCAATTTTTTAGATAAATGTTCCACTATAGTGCTTACATGTGTAGTCCGATAACATGCATGTTCACATAAATACATTGGCTAATTAGTGCAGTCTTGAATTTCTGGTTTTGTGCAGAATATTGATGAGAAGGTGAAGCCTGCTACCGTGTGGAATAATGAAGTTGGAGTAGCCATTAATGGAGAAAGAATGCTGCTTAAGGAAAGTGATGAGGTCCATGAAGATAGGCATAGTAAGCCAAAACAAGCCAGAGCAGATAAGAAAGAGTTGAAAGACCACAAGAGAGTGATAGTTTCATCAGGTTCTGCAAAAAATGAGTCCACTCTTATTTCTGTTTCTTGGCACGTGCCTCACCGGAAAGAAAAGGACCAGCAACCGGAGATTAACTCAGACTACCCACTTCCACAGCCACACCCAGGAATTCACAACTAAGCTAGCCCCCTGTGTGTGTGTATATATATATATATCATAAACCTACAAACTACAAGGCTTCTATATATGATCACTACTGTCTTAACACATATATGATAACATTGTGGATTTTATGTGATATATATATCATGTTTAGAAATATTCTTATGTTTGATGTACATTGGATAATGTCTTAAAGAAAATTTGAGCTACTATGATGCTGGCCAATTGATTATATAAATATTTATAATATATATACTTTCTTCCAAAGGTATAGTTCGTTGCTGCTTCTTTTTTAATTTTCTTATACTTCTTCGTATTACTACTAGCATTATTATTAATTATCCTTAGAACCATCATAACGACTGATGGAGAGTTCACATGATGAGATATAGCATCCACTTTCAAGTATGTGTATATATATATATGTTGCCCCATGCATGTAGTGCCCGGTTCAGATGTTGTAATTTAGTTAGGTACAGAAGAAGATTATGTGAACACTTGCTCGAATTCTCACTTATCAGATTCCATTGTGAAAGACAATTTTTCAGAAGAATTCGCCATGATATTATCTAATTTTCATGCATAGTATCATGAAAACTGGATACAAAAACGGTTGGCACGTGCAGTTAATTCTGCATGCATATGCATCCAAGTCTGAAGTATATATATATATAGGTAGAGTTATATATATATATAGAGGATCAAAATAGTTCTTGTTTATATTGGTATATCCCAGTGATATGAGATATTGAATACTACTTTTCTAGATTCTATTCTCTACCAACCCTCACTAGTTTCTTTATTCGTAGAGTTACATTTTATTTTGTCTATGTTAAAGAATAGTTGCAGCTAGTAAGAAAATGGTGATGATTCCTTTTGGCTACGTCAATAAATAACAATTCTTCTCTCTTTTGCTAAGAAGTTGTGCGTATATGGAAGAAGAATATAAAAGATCTAGATTAATTCTATATATAAGATTGTTGGAAAAATAAACTAAATACATGAACTAACTCAAATGTTGAATACATGAACCAACTCATGTGTGGAATACATGCACTATCTCATTGGGAGATGAAACACTTGTATTAAACTTAGTGTTTTATTTATTGTCTTGTAATTTGTGTCTTTCTAGAATCATGTATTGGTGCCTATAAATACATGTTCTTAAGTTCTTTTGTAAGCAAGAAGTGAGAAAGAAATATATCAATATTTGAGAGTCTTATAAAAGTTGTGTGTGTTCTCCTTCTTTATATTGAGTGCCCTCCTACAATCTAAATATGCAGACACACACACACACATATATATATAATATCATATACAAGGGCTGGACAGTTTCCTGGGCTTGTACATTTTGATACACATTTCTATAAGATTTGCTTTAATTTTCAAAATATATATGCATGTATGGAAGATCTATATATTTAGCAACACACACAAAACAATGAAACATATAAGTATATATGGATGGGTCATGGGTAGGCATATTGTGGAATGTGGTGGTTGGATTGGTCATAAATAATGGAGAGGCAGTTTTCAGTTAGTCTAGACTTTCAGTTGCTGTGTGTGTGTGAGAGAGTTGATATTTGTAAGTTGAAAACTACAATGCCACATGGTGTTTAGAATTTTGGTCTCGAGCAATAAATTTCTCTCCTCTGCTTAATTTCTTGATAGGGAGAATACGTCTAGAATCACTTTAAAACGTGCATGATTGATGACCTCCATGTTGTCAATACTAAACTTCTCCGTCCAATATTTAAGAGGGTAGGACCTCCATTTAAACTTCACCGTCCAAATTTGACAAATACCTTTCTTTTTTGGTACAACAGTGAAAGCACCTCCTGTTACAAATTTATCTCGTCAAAAGATAAATTTGTGAATTTTTTTGTTTGATACAAACAATCCTTCAATTTTTGATAAGATCAATTTGAGATGGAAGAAAAACAGATGATATACTAATTAGAGAGAAGAACGGAACAGCGAAGAAGAGTTACTAGAGTTGGAACAGTTTCTTTCCTGATGCAGAAAAGAATAAGAAGTAAAAAAAAAAAGGTATTTATATTGTATATTGTGGTATTGGTACATATGATAAAACAAAGGGTAATTGAGTAAATTTGTTTTTTGATGATGACTAGACTATGTTGGGGGAGGGGGAGGGGGAGGGGGAGGGGGAGGTGACGTTAATCACCACCGTTAGATACTCACTTAGTGTCGTGAGAGATGAGAATTTATTTTTCTGCATATATTTGCCTGAGCCATCAGAATAACAAAATAAAAAATAAAAATAAAAATAAAAAAAACAAACAATTATAGTGAGGACATTACAATCTTGTCATGATAAAGGATGTCTCTTAAGAGCATTACACATCCATACAAAAAAAGCAAATCTCAAACAAATATCTCACCTTTTCCCAAAAAAAAAAAAAAAAAAAAAAAAAAAAAAAAAAAAAAAAAAAAAACCTTCTCTATTAAAATCCCTTACTAAGAGACAATTAAGTCAATGGATTTGGCAATTCCGATGGGATGAAAGTGCTTTTCATCTAAATCTAATCCCCTTTGTTGGATTTTGTTTACTCCAACTTTATATTCTAAGGTACTAAAAGTACATTTACATCCATCTCACAACAAACAAACTTGTTGATTTTTTATTATTATATTATTTTTACACACGGTAGGGCTCTCTCAGCCAAATTAAAGAAACCATGTTGAAACATTCATTATGTAATTGATTCTTCCAAGTAACCTGGAAAAAAAAAAAAAAAAAAAATCCCATTTCTCAACCAATTAAATACATTATATACGACTATAAAATGTAACATATTAGCTAGCAAAATCATGTATGCATGTTATTATTTTAAAATGATTAGAATGTTTCTCATACTTCAAGCAATGTTTGTTAAAAATTCCATACGACAATTTTGTCGGATTAATTCAAAAAGTTGTGATACTTAGGTTCAACATTCTAGTCGAAATTCTGGATATGAGTATCATATGAAGTGAAATGCAATAGAAAGACCGAGATATTGGGCCTAAGTATCATTTGCAGTGAGATGTTATGCAGGACAGAAATAGAAAGATATATCAATCCATTAAAGTTAAACATATTTAAGCTGTAAGGCTTTACTGATTTATTTTTTAAAAAAATTTAGCCTCTGGTATTCTTGTTGGGCCTCCAGTCCGAAATCTGATGGTAGTAAAACTTAAAACCCATGATTCATAATAAAATTTACCAGCCCAAATTATGTGAAATCAACAAAATCTCATGACCCAACAACATGTAGTTCCAAAAACTGAAAAAAAAAAACATAGAATATCTAGGGCGTGAGTAGGTCAAATGCACAAATAGTCATAATTACAAAATCTTGAAAATGATAAATAAGGACAGTAATTATTTTTGAAATAAATTTAATCATCTTGTATAATTTCTTTATTTATTACTTTCTCAAATTTATAATTACAAATTATAGTATATTAATGGTAAGTTGAAATGACCTACTCAAGTCTTATCCGTTCCTTACCTGTACAACTAATAGGTGATGCAAGACTCCGGCTGAATTAAAAGATCTATGACTTCCATCTATTTTCTATATTTAGTTTATTGCTTCTTTTTTCATGTTGTATGAATTTGATTTGTTGATAAATTTAGTGAATTTCTTCTAGAGAAATTAAACTCCCAACCTTAAGTTCTTTATATACTTGACGTCTATCACCAAGAGTTTCTAATAGCATGTTCACTCCTTTTCAAAGAGAGTTTTGATCCTTTTGGAATTTGAGTTTAAACATCGTGATGAAAAGTTTTTTTATTATCTTAATTAAAAAAATTATCAAAATAAATTCACTTTTTTAAATAATTGATTAGTAATTTTTTTGGCTAAATAAAATTTTGAATATTTATGAAGCGCAATGTATTATCAAGATTCTAATTAAAGAATAAAACCTCAAGTTTAAGGAGTTGTTGCAATTATTTGGATAATATGTATATAATTAGAGAATAAAATATATAATATTTAAAAACTTATAGAAAAGGAAATATATAATATTACAAAACTTATTTGTTTAGTTAATAAATTCAGACATGACATAATTAAACAAACTTAAAAAAATAAAATAAGTCAACATGATTAATGCAATTCAAAGAATAAAGCATAATTAAGCAAACACAAAAAAAATAAAAATAAAAAATAAATCAACATGATTAATTCATTTCGAAGAATAATGTCCCTGTAATAAAACAAAGAATTTTGAACCATGTTGAGAAACAATTTCCTATTTAATTTTAATTGATAATTTATTGTATTATTTGGTAAATTATTTTATGAAATAATTATCTATTTATTTTAATTGATAACTTATATGATTTATTTTAATTGGTAAATTATTTTATTATTTTATTTATAAATGATTTGAAACATCTTGATTGAATTTCAATTAAATAATTACCTATTTAAATTTAATTAGCAATTTATTTAATGATTCGAAACATCTTGAATTTCAATTAAACAATTTCTTATTTAATTTTAATTTTAATTGGTAAGTTATTTTATTATTTGGTAAAAATAAAAATAAATAAATAAAAAATACACAAAGCTTGACTAGTCTTACCATACCCAAGAAATGTCCATACCATTTTCCACTTATATCGACTAAAAAAAAGGTTGGGTTTGGGAGAGATTGAGAGAAAGGGCACTTGAAAGGTTAGGGGCGTAAGTGCAACTTAAAGAGATTCAAACATCGTTGAATGGGCTTATATTGTGATATTCAAACATTTATTATTAATTTAGATGAGAGTAGAGTTTGAAAAAAATAAAGTTATTGTGCATTGTTATATTTTTAGTCCTTTCCATCCTAAACCAAAATATAAATAATGTAAGAATTAATTATTAATATTCAATTATCCCTAATAAGCACACTTCAGCAAGATTTGAACTTTGATTTGGAGGATGCACCAAAACTTGGCAGTAGTGCAACACCAAGGAGATGCTAGGATCACTAAAGTAGCAAGCTACTCTAGTTGACCCAACCTAAAAAAATTTAGTTCAATATCATGCTCCACATAATACAAGGGCGGTGGCCCTTGTATCCGATATTAAACCAATAAGAATAGATATTACACTTGATCTTAGCTAAAAGGCTGAGAAAGGTATGAATAATATTTCTTTAGGTCTATATTTTTATAAGAGACTTCCATATAATCCTTTATAACTCAAAACCA